TGCAGAATCATTAAGACATGTGTCCTGACAGATTTCTTTACTCAGTTGGTGAGGACCATTAATGAGGCAGATATCACAGCAGTGTCAGGGAACCAGTTCTGGAGCTTGGGCTCTCCCATTTTCCTCATGTCTAACTTGAACTGCAACTCATCAATTCTTGTCCCAATCATTCAGGATGTGAGCTGGTTTCTTCCTCTCTCCAGAAGCTTTTCACGAGCTTGAAATATTCAATAATAACACTTCTAGTTACTTTGGTAAGTAATTCAAATTTTTCCATTTTCATCATATATGAAGTTTTAAATGATATTACATATTTGGTCATTGTCTCTGTCATTTTCCAGGTTTTCTCTGACTTGAGCTTGATCCTACATCCCAGCTGTCTTGCCAGAGTATTTTATGTATCTTGCAGGCTAGGCACCTCTTAGTATCTTTCAATCTTCAAATGTATCTTTCTTGCAAAAGAATGGTACTGTGATTCTAAGTATTTTTTCCTCCTCTAAAATCATTAAAAAATGAAGGTATCTCTTCCTAGTTCCAGTATAGGTACTGGAACCTAACTTCTTCATGTAGCTTTAATTTTAATTTTCTTCTTAGTATTTATGTAAGAAATTATTCTTTACAGAGCACCATGTGAGTTGTCTTAAACTAATACAGTAATCATAACAAATGAGTAGAGGCTAAAAGTATGCCTATTGTTCCAAGGAAAACTTTTTCTGTTTCCTGAAATGGTGCCTATCATCAGCTATCCCTTTTCTGCTGCAAAAACTCTAAATTATTTCTGCGAGGACTATCTCTGGAAAAATCAGATACCACGAGAAAAACACAAATATTACATAAATCCAAAATACGTGCTAAACTGATAAGTGATGTAACACATCGGTGTAGTACAGAGATTTGTAACAAACTGTAACTCTTGTTGCCAAAACATAGCTATATGTCGGCAAATGGAGAACACTCTCTTGTATATTACCTAATATATAGCTTTAGTTTGAATAGGAGTACAGATCCCTATATTTCATTAAACAGAGAAACTTTGAAAAGAAAAGTATTTCTAAAACACAGTTTTTGCTGAATACTGCTACATTCTATGTGTGTAAAATCTTTCACGAGGAAGCGCCAATAGTTGTACTTATGAGGCACAAAATTGTTACTTATTAGTTTAATTAATATTCTATTTAGAATCTCAGTTAATCTCACTTCGGTAATTCTCACTCAAGAAAACAGGTTTCCAGGTGAACTATATAGAAAGAGTAGCTCTGCAAAATGTATTTCTTTTTGGAATAGCTGTGAAGAGCAACGGCTTTCAGGGTGTGACCCTAATTCATGGTTCTTGGCCTGCATTTTTTCCACCCTGCCTTTTGGCATGTCTGCAGCTCGGAGTACATGTTTTCACTGCGTCATCTTTGATCTACCATGTTAATTGTTATGAACTGCTCTAATTATTTTAAGAATTTATCAGATTATGTTTAATGGTAGAGGAATGACTCCAGAAGACAACTTTCCAAGAAATGTGTATCAGAACCAAATTTGACCTCGTTTGTGAATCTTTCTTGGAATTTCTCTTTAATAATTCTGATTTCTCTAGCCTGGGTGCAAGAGTGTAAGGAAAACTCAAAAGTGAGCATACATGATGGCTCAAGTCCAGCACTAGCACAAGTGTATGGGATGCCAATGTCAATGAGGTTGCAGCAATTCTTTCAGCTCTGAAAGGGTACCATTGGTATTCTTAAAATAATATTTAAATAATGGTTACATCAATAATTTTTAAAATAACCTATTATTTCCCACCACCATTCCACCAATTAAAAAAAAACAAAACATGCTCGGATTCATTTTTACTTTTAGTAAAACATTTGCAACACATGCAAAGGAAAAATCTTTTCTAGAGATGCTGTCAGACCCTGGAAATTCTGGAATTGAATTCTGGAAACTTGGACAAAAGTGATTTTGCAATTTGAAAGGTGAACAGCCTCTTGAATTTAAGTTCTTCATTAGACAAATTGTTCAGAGCTAAAGTTCTGCTTCCTCTTCTTCTTCTTCTTTGTTTTTATTTCAAAACTACCATCTCTTGAATGGAGAACCATATGGCTGGAATCTATTTTCCTCGCAGGCAAGAGTGCTTGTTGAGGCATATCAAAACCACCATGGGAACAGCACAAACTTGCTGGAGAGCTTATGGTGTCCCTGCGGACATTCCCTCTTTCTGTATCTATTCGGGAATTCAACCACAAAGTGGTGCTGTTGCAAAAGCTAACGGTTAATGGGGAAAACCAACTCCCTTCTTTTATAATGACCCAAGGCATGCATTAAACCCAATAAAATTGCCATCCATTTACATACTGAGATGTAGATCTTCTCTATAAATATGCATTTTTTTAACATCAAAAGCAATTACATTGGTATCTATTAATATATAGAGAAAAATGCATGTCTTCAAAGTATATTGAATGCTACATATTTTGAAGTCTGATCAAGGACCTAATTAATTAGATCAATGTCTAGTAATTATTCCAATTAAAATACTCAGAATTTAAATATTATTTTCTAGAGCACTCTTTGAGCAATATTTCAAACTCTTCAAGACAGAATAGAGACTTGTTCAAAGTAAGAAACTTTTTTTTGCCATATCAGAACCTCGCATCCAACCTCGCATACATGTAAAATAAGGAGACCATTTGGGAGCTTTATTGTTTCTCATAAAAAATACAGAAACATATTTAAAGTGTAAAAAAAAACCAAACCACTTGTGCTAAGGGTTAGTATTAAAAAAAAAAAAATCACACCCAGAATAACAGATGAAGATGTACAAATATCTAGAAAAAAAAATGGCTTCAGAACAACAGAAACGTCTTTAGAAAGAAAGGTTGGGAAACTGCAAGGACCAAACATGTCTCCATTTTCTATAGTTGTGAAAACACCCTGTCTACAATGCTTTTTACAGTGCACACATATTTGGCAAGATTAAGGTGTCACATCTCAAATTACAAGGCGTCTGATTGCCCACAGACCCAGACACGAGTACAGGGCAAAACCCCTCAACTTGTGCAAAACTGCCTGGCTCTTACAGGTTTGCCTCCCATCAGAGGTAGGCAGTCCCTCTGCCTAGGAAGTTTACTTGTAGCCAGCTTATTTTCCTTCTTTTTTAGCTGGGCTAGCTGCAATATGAAGTTCCCGGGCTAGGGCTGCCTACAGATGCTTAACCCTTTACCTACCTCTCAGGGAGCATTCACCAGCAACAGGAAAAATTTCTATTCCTAGCACTGTTTGTCTACTTCAGGAGCTTAAAAGCTGATTCATATTTCAGGCATTTCTCAGATCTGACTACAGTGCTGGGGCCGGGGGTACAGGACTCAATTCTGACTCCCTCCTCTTAGCTGAAGAAGCTCTGAAAAGGATGAAAACTGCCTTCAGCCAAATAGGGAAGACAAAAAGGCTCCAGAGCTCATCAAGGTTTTGAGTGGTTTTTTGATTGGCAAAGCAGCAAGTTTTAGTAGAAAATCTTAGGAAGCAGCAGTGGAAGATGACTTCTTCCTCTGCATCTGGGCAGTTAGAGGGAATAAGCGATGCAGACAGAATTTAGGAGACAGATACAAATACAACTACAAACAGTCTACAAACTGTGGAGTTCAGAGCACCCTAAATAGAATAATTTTAGTCAATAAGTCAAAAGTCAGATATCGGACAACCACAACAAACAACACCGACCATGTTTCAATCCACAGTGGAAAATATTTCAAAAAAACTGTGACAATTATCTAGGTAGATTAAAATGTCTTAAAGAAGACAGTACAATGCTTTGACGGCATGAGAAGGCTAATCATCCTTGTACAGGGAGGGGAAAGAGGAAAAAATCCTTGTTTAAATAACAAAAGAAAAAACTTCATGAGCTGGTAAAGTATGTATTATTTAAGGAAACAATCTAGTGCCTCTTAAGATTTGAAGTGTTGTATCATATCTTATATGACCACGTTCTTATGGTTATGACTTGCTCAATTACACTTGAATTAAATAGAAAAGAAAGATGACTTAAGCATGTAAATTTAGAGGGAGACTTAGAGGCATGCAGCTAAATTTATCAGCCATCTCTGTGAGCGATCACTCTAAATAAAAAGTTTGGAAACCAGTCGCTGCTGGTTGCTGATGAACTTTCCATGCTTTTGGCACTCACCATCCTTTACTTAATGGGCTAATCTGCAAATCAAAACAGGAGGAATATCTAGAAAGAAATCTGCTCTTAACGGTGGATATTTCCCCAACAATTATTTTTGTGTCACGGGGTGTGACTTGGTTGACAGAAATGTTGACCAAAGAAATAAGTTTGTCTAAGATTTTGAAGTAATAATAAAATAAAAAAAAGAGGAGCCAGAAGGAGAGAGCAGAGGCTTATGGCATTCTAGTTCTCTGTCTCTATTTCACCTGTTTTACATGTCCTATAATGACTTCTGAATATGGGTAAGAATAGCAACACATGCTGGCAGTTTGACCAAAGGGTGTGCGTGTACATGTGTGTGAGTGTGCATGTGGGAGACAGAGTACAGGGAGAAGGAAGGGGGGGCGGAGAGTGGATGGACCATTAGAACTCCAACACAGGGACATTCCTGCAATAAAATACTTGTCTTCTGAGAATCGCCGTCTGGAAGAGATGGTTATGATTTAACAAAAGAATTCTCTAAAATGTTCCCTGGTGCTAATACTGTTCTTAATAATATGAAAAGATTTTGCCAGGAAGAGGAATAAAACCATCGATTGGATTAAAAAAAAAAAAAAAAGAATATAGGCACATGACGGTTTTTTTTAGAGCTCACAGGGGAAAAAAATGACCTTTGCGATGGTTTTGTCATTTTCAAAAAAATGCCTCATTCTGTTAAATTCCCCAACCAGGCAAGGTTATTATAAATGGTAGGTAGGAAAAGCAGAGTGTGGCAATAAAGGGGTTAATCTGCAGAGCACAGAGCCATCTGGCTGAGCTGGTTTGTTATAATCGAGCAGATTATGTTCACGGGACTCAGAGTTTAAGGCTCCTCTCCCATACAGCAACTCTGCACAACCCAAGCAGACCAACTTTGGGACTTTGAATGAACATATTTACATCCACCTTTCTCTTCATGTCGACTTTTCTGGAAACATTCACACGGATGCCATGGTTACTCCTACCACGGTAAGGGAAATTTGACG